TGTGAGACATTCTCTTCACCGTACCTACCTAGTGTACACTTTAAGTCCTACATTATAACCATAGTCTACTGAAGGGAGACCGAGACAGTTGTGTATAGATCTATACGGGATTGACAACCCCGCACCTAAGTTGTTCGCTACAGTTAGACCGGCACGTCTAGGGTGACAAATGTCTACCAATTCCGACACCTGAAGAACGTCGTTCAGGCATATAAGTCATATTAAGCATGGTTATAATAACTCACATAGGGATTAACAAAACATTTGATTTACGGGGTAACTTTCACTTCATCAGTTTTATGAAAAGATAAAACTACATACTATCCTTCAGTACAACATTACATACATTTCTGGTCTTAGGGTTTTAAGACTACAGTTCATAAATAAGAAAACATTGGATTTTCCAGGAATCATACATTATCATTTTACAAGGAAAATATACAAAGGAAATATATACACTTTCATTTAGTCTTGGGTATAAGGCTTACAACTCGTTTTAAAAGAAAATACTGGATTTTCTGAAAGTACACAAAAGCATTTTTAAGCAAAACAGTTACAAATCCTTCTCATACAAAAATGCTTATGAACTCAGCAACTTAGTTTTTGACACTTTTCAAAATCACCTGTATTCTCAGGAAACCCGTAAATAGTTATCCAAACGATTATGAGAGTAAGAGATGCTACAACATGTTTTCTACTTATCAGATATTTGTATTTACTTTTGAACAAACAATGTTTGTAAACTATGTAAACTTGTAATCTCAATATATGATGTTTGGGTTGCTATGTTTCATTCATATTCAATTGTTATGATACTGTACAATGACGTCATCCGCCCCCGTACGTTTTCGTCGTTTCGGTTTGGGGGTGTGACACGCGGTCAACGCTCTGCTTTTGGTAAACATTAGAGTACGTTGGGTGTACTCTCTTGGTACGCAGTGCGTACTCTGCTGGGAAGAAATATTGACTTTTGGACCTTGACTGTTGGCTTTCACTTTGACCAGGGTTGACCAAGTTTGACTTAAGGATATTTTGGGTATTCTGAGTTATAGTTAAGCCTTGGTCTCTATCTGTTGAATATGTGACATGTAGAGCCGGTATTCAGAGCAATGTATTGTTCAACTATTCGTCGGACTGTGAGGTGAGTTTTCCTCACTGTACTTTTGGGTCGAAGGCACCATGCCGGCCCACTAGGTTACGTGTCCTTGTATATAGGATGTTGATATGCGGTAGTGATCTGTAGATCTACCTGTTTATCTGTTGACTGGTTATGTGTTCTTTTGTATGTATATGTCGACATGTTATGATTTTGGGTTAAGACTTTACTGCTATGTGTGTGGGTCAACAGACCGGGGGTATTCCAGCCCGATGGCTGTAGACCTTAGGGTATTTCAGTTCGATGACTGAGTGGACCCATGGTATATTGGTATTCCAGCCCGATGGTTGTGGACTCGAGGGTATTCCAGTCTGATGACTGAGTGGACCCGTGGTATATTGGTATTCCAGCCCGATGGCTGTGGACCTGAGGGTATTCCAGTCCGATGACTAAGTGAATCTGTGGTATATTGGTATTCCAGTCCGATGCCTGATTGAGCCGGGGGTAAACCAACTCGGTGGTTGTGCAGCCGTGGGTATTCCAGTCCGATGATTGAGTGGACCCAACATGCTTGTTTGTATATGATATGTGTATTATGTGGTGGTACTTTGGGGGGAACTCACTAAGCTTCGTGTTTACAGTTGTTTGTTATGGTTTCAGGTACTTCAGGTAATCAGGAAAAGCAAAGGCGTGATCGTGCACATCCTTCAGATTTTATGTTATTGGATTTTGGGATACTCTGATTTATGAACTATACTTTTAAAACAACGTTTTTGTAAACAATTATCGACTTGGGGTTGTTCTGAAAAAATGAAATATTTACTCTGATTTTCGGAATGTTTCAATATCAAGTAATGATTGTTAAATCATTGTTTAAGTTTTTTTTTAAAGAGATGAGTAAGTTTAAGTTAATGTGAATGTTGGTCAACAATATCTTATGTTTGATTTAAATAACCTGTATAATTTTATGTATATCGAATCGAATTCTTATTGGCGTTTACAAAGTCAAAAATATCGTGTTATTCATTTAAAGTTGTATCCTACATCAAATATCATATTCTTCATTCAAACAAAATGGGAGAGAACATATTAATAAGGGAAACTAATAACTTTCATTTAAACAAAAAGAACAATACTTTCAAATATGAAAAACAAAACACAATACACCCTAAACCCTAACAGACAATGACAAACTCGATGGGTTGGTGTCTTTATCATTAAGGACGTGTAAGCCACGACATGAATGGATATGTCCCTACATCATGACTTGTTTGGCATTAAACCCTAAACATGGGTGCCTAAATCAATCTTTCATGTTCCTTAGAGGTGAACCAAGGCCTAGGACCAAAAGGATTTAAAAAAACGCCATTGACATGTAAACTTTTTGAGATTTTGTCTTGATAAACGACTTTTTAGATTCCTTACACTTCAACTATTACCATCATGTATCAACAAAACAAAAGACAATTCAAATTAGAGATCTTTTGTTTTTCAAACTCCGAAGTATTACGATCAATTTCGAAACTTCTTATCAATATATAATAAAATGACACTAAAACACATTGAATACGAATTTTTACCCACATAATGCTAGAAAAACCTACATCTATACTAAGGACAACTCATTACGTTTCCATAACCGACATAAGTCTGAAACAAGAACATGTTTGAAATCCAAAACTCAAAAATGAGGGAAGTGCACACATTATATATCCATGCTATCTAAAACCGGTACATTTCAGATATAGTGATCATTTTTGAAAAATCATTTAAAACTATGGTTATTTCCGTAATGATGTGGTCATTTTGTTAATATCTTATTTTTTATTATTATATTAACTATAAATTTATTTTACTTATTTGAGTCATTCAACTAAATAGTAATGATGTGGTCATTTTGTTAATATCTTATTTTTTATTATTATATTAACTATAAATTTATTTTACTTATTTGAGTCATATTCAACTAAATAGTTCGAAAGTATCACATCTAATACAAACCAAACTATCATCATAATGAAGAATAAACGAAACCCCCAATTCTATAAACCAAACCGAATTTAACACCATACACCCTAAAACTCCATGGACAAATACAATTCTACATATACTTGCTTTCACAATTCTAAATCCAAGTAATTCATGTACTCTATACAAAACAATCGTAAAGTGTTCCTTATGGATCACAAAACAATGGCCACACACTATCCGATTCATCGGATATGCTTTCATCCCACAACTTTAAGCTCTTTTCAACAACAACAATAACAACCACAACCAGACCTTAAAATCAACATGCAAAAACCAGCCAACTTGACTAGAGAGACATGGGCCCACAAACACTTCGAAATATAAAAGAGGGTCAAAGTGATTTATGCTTCCATTTTGTTCTATGATTCCTTTTGGCCATCATTTTCTCCGGCAGCAATAGTGGTGGTGGTGGTGGTGGTGGCGGCGGCGGCAGCAGTGGTGGTGGTGGTGGTGGTGGTGCGTGACGCCTGAAGTTGAACTGTGAATTTCTTCTGCAAATCTTTAAGCTTATCTAGTATTTCTTGGAATGTTGGTCGGGATTGTGGTTCACTGAGTACAAAAAAGAAAAGAGTGTACAGAGTTATGATTGTATGCAGTAATCGAAGATGGAATAGAATTGATCATTACTTTGTTTGCCACATAGGAATGGAATTAGGTTTTCCTAAGAGAATGTGATTCCTTCTTCCGGACTCATTTTCATTCTATGGGATACAGGTGCTTTCTTTTCATTCCTTGATGAATTGGAATGAAGAAATATTAATTATACTTGAACATTACTTGTATAATTAAAAATAAAAACTAAAAATGTTTTTTGATTATAATTCTATTATAAGATTTCATGGTTTACGATTTTTTTAGTTTTGTAAAGTGATGAACCTTTTTTCTTACTATTTGACATAAACATATTATATATTTCAAACTACATAGAATATGCTTAAATGGAATTTATATAACTATATATCTTTATCTGATTAAAAGTTTATTTATATAAAAAGAAAAGTTTTTCTTTGTTATCAATTTAATTTCATTTAGTTTTCTAATTATACATAACAAATAACATGTTTGAATGAGAAGTTCCATTCCTTCAACCCGACCAAACATGATAATGGAATGTAATCACCCATTCCATTCCATTACCTTACTCATTCCATTCCTTCATTCCAAACAAACCCTATATACAAAAACTGACAAAATACAAACCTGCACCAACAGCTTTCAATAAGAGAAGCCCATTGAGGATCCACATCAGTGGGAATATCTAACCTTTGATTCATAAACCCTACAGCTCCAATTACCTGTTACACATACAAAAACCACATTTTGACTTTTAAAGTCAAAGAAATGAATTTTCCTCTCCATATTTCGATACAAAAAAAAGTTCAAAAAGAAAGTTGATAACTTTGACAAACTTCATAACAAATGCTACAAATAACTTTCGCATACCATTTTCAATCATATGACCAAAAATTTCACTTATAGAAAATTACAAGTTTGACCTTGAAAGTTGAAACACATACCTGCATTGAGTTGAGACTATCCCAAGGAATCTTTTCTGTGATAAGTTCCCATAATACCACACCATAGCTATATACATCCGACCTACAAATTTCAAACGAATATAATTATTATAAAATTATGCATTTAAATATATATATATATATATATATATATATATATATATATATATATCATTCTCGGTTATATAGCTTACTTTTCATCTGCTTGTTCATTCCTAAGAACTTCGGGAGCCATCCATTGAGGCTAAAAGTGGAAAAAACAAAAAAGAATGTTAATGAATGCCAAATGTCTAAACTACCCTTGCATAATCACAACTTAAGGAAATAACATAGGTAAATACCGTGCCCTTGCCCGTCTTTGTTGTAAGATACGTTTCATGCTTGACACGCGAAAGACCAAAGTCACCAACCTATTCATTTCCAAAAAAATAAAATTTTATTCATTTCCTTGTTTATAAATTACAATTGAAAAATAAAAATTACATATAAAAGCAAATACAACAAACCTTCACATTCCAATTCTTATCAACAAGAAGATTTGAAGACTTCAAATCGCGATGAATGATTGGCGGGTGACAATGGTGAAGATAATTCATCCCTCGTGCCTGTGGGAGTGGGAGTGGGAGTGGGACCCACCAATTATTATTATTATTATTATTATTTTTAAAACAAAACATGAACTACATATCATATAATTATAAATGGGACCCACAAAATGAAAACTTACAATATCCATGGCCATATGAACACGACGTCTCCAATCTAATCTAGCTGTGTTTCTTTGAAGTAAACGAAACAAACTTCCACTACATAGAAAAATATCATAACTCCATTTAGCCTTGGTTTAAAAAAGCGTGTTGCGCTCCGTTGCGATTAGGTCCCGGAGACCGATGCACGTTGCGAGATGCGATTGC